GTCCCAGGGCCGGGGTGCGGGTCCCAGGCTCAGGATGTGGGTCCCAGGCTGGGGGTGGGGGTCCCTGGGCTCTCCCCTTCCCGGGGATGGATGCCCCTTTGTGCCGCCCCCGGATGCCGGGCAGTCGTTGAGGTGCCAGACTGGGTTGTCCTTGTTTGCTTGAGGAAGTTCTTCAAGCTTTTTCGTAGGAGCGCCAAGTTCCGTGGGGCTGCTGAAATGTTGGGCCTGTGGTTTCGGTGGGAATTTGTCTCCCAGGAAGCATTGGGATGCCCAGGGATGGGGAGGCGGGGAGGGATTTACCTGGATGTAACGAGGGTCTCTGCATGGATGCAAGGGAACGAGTTGCCCTAGACCTGGATGTAAACTGGAAGCCTCTACTTTGGCTTTCATGGTGCTTGAACTTTAATGTGAAACTGCAGGTCCTCGTATCTGCCTGGACCAGGCAGTTGTTCTTAGGCTTTCCAGAAAGTGCCATGGGATTTTTAGCATCTCTCTGGATAGGGGTGTTAGCACTTCTCCCACCTGTGCTTGGAGTGTGCTGTTTTTCTCATGAAAGCACAGCAATAGTTGGTTGAGTAAGTCCTGCCAAATTCAGCAACCTGTGGGGTTGGTTGTTTTCTGCCTACTTGCTAAGAGCAAGGGTTGTTTTACAAGAGAATTCACTGCAGTTTATGCATGATCCAGTCTGGATCTCTGCAGAAGAGCAGTGGTATGGCAGTGCATGTCCTTAAAAGCAGTGCTGTGAGAAGCTGTTCAGACCTGAGCATCTGAGAAAGCCTTGTTTAATCAGATGTATGTCATGATATAAAAGCAACTGCATTTGACATGGTGATTTCCAGAAATCATCAAGCATGTGTACTGAGGGGTTTGTTTGTTTCTTTCATGAACACCTTCAGTGACTTATGGTTAGGAAGAAAAACACAGAGAAAACCTGGGTATTTGGTAGCTGCTTTGGCACAGACATCCATATTTTACTGGGACCATGAGAAATCTAGGCTCTGCTACCAAATTTAACCATGCAAATCTTATTCCCTTGAAATAAATGGAAAATTACTACTTCAAACTAAGTTAATGCATAAGCATTAATAAAGATGTAGCCTACATAACCCTGTAATTAATGTACTATAACTCTATTCTGTATTTTTGTGTGTATGATGGGCTGTAAACCAGCCAGTTTGGATTAAGCTGTATGTATGTATTTCTATATTCAAGTAATTTATTATCTCATTTGTGTCCCTTCTGCCAGAAAATCGTGAGGATATGCTGAGTTCAAAAAGCAACAGGCTGACAGAAGCTTTGGAAGAAGCCAATAAACTGTTCAGTGGAGGTAAAACAAATTCTGTGGTCCTAGTTGACAGTTGGCTGTGCCTGAGGTGATGATGCCTTGTTAACATAAAAGGACCAGAGAATGAAGTTGAGGTCCAAGTACTTTGTCAGCATTATTAAAGTATAACTTGATGTAGATGTGTTTAGTTGAAGAGGAAGCGTTTGAATAAGTTGATATGAGAAAATAAATATATTACTTCAGTGTTTATTTGCTCTTAGAAATCCTACTCCTTGGTTTGCATTCGTTCTGTAGCACAATATATATAAGCAGTACATATAAAAGGTATCCGTGTAGGGGGGTTAATTTCTCTTGGAGAGATGGAAAACGTCAGTGAGAAATGCATTTTATTCCTGAAGATAATGTGTTATTTTTCCATGCTTGCCTTTGTCAGTGTCATCCTCCTCTTTTTTCTGTTTTTAAAATGCAAGTAACATTCTAAGTGTTATGTAAGTAATGGAGCTAGAGGTCATTGTAATAAAATTATTTACAAAACTCTATCTTCAGGGTAGTCTGTATACTCAATTTTACTATAATGTTTTTGGTAATCCTGTGTTATTAACATCAAATCTTCTCTGTAACAGTTTCCCGTGCACGAGAGGCAGCACTGGATGCCCAGTTTCTGGTTTTAGCATCAAATCTAGGAAAGGAGAAGGCCAACGAGCTGCGCTCTGAGATGACAGCATTTGATTCAGTAACATTTGCAGAAGACTTGGTGAGTTCTAGACTTTGAAGCTGCCAACAGTTTTGCTAGAGGCCTGCCCTGTTTCTTACAGAATCATAAAATGAAAAAGCCTCAGATTGTCAGTAAAGGGCAGTTCTGATGGAATTTAACACTCAGGATTTTTTTTAATTAACTTTCAGGTTAGTGGTGTTAACTTTTTCAAACTATGTATTTAGCGTTTTCAGTAGGCATAAGGGGAACATCCAGCTTAAAATGCAAACATCCCCCCCGGTGTTGCATTTATCACAGTTCAGTCCATTCATGCACTTAAGGTAGTCTTGTGCACTTTTTTCTACTCAGGGTTTTGTAGGTTCTCGGTTGATTCTAAGTAGATTTTTTTTATCCTGTCCACTGCTTTGTATGTTTTGGATGGAGCTCTTAAGGCTCTGTGTGTCACTGACATGAAATGAGACTTTGGATTATTTGCATACTTTTAGACTTTACATGTTTGTCTCTTTGTACTGTGTCTGGGTGGAAGAGTCAGTTCAGAAGAGCTTTGAAGCAGACTGTTTTTCTCCCTGAAAATTCTCTTATGTTACAGGAGGATTCTGAGTCTTTGGACAAGTCTAGCATTCTTCAATATAAAAACCCATTGATTTAAATGTTTTATTAGAAGTTTTTCCCAGGCTGGTGGATACAGGGTTGGGCCAAATGAGTTGTTTCATGGTATTTGAAGAGCTAGGCTTCCTGGAGGTATGTGTTGTTCAGAACCTGTGAGACATCTTGGCTTTGTAGTACCATTTAGGTAATGCTTTGCTACTTCATACATTACTGAAATTCTGTTGGGATATAGGCAGTTTTATTTACCACTAGCTATTTTTTTCATTGCTGACACAAGTCTGTACTGGAGTATTTTTCTGTTTTCACAGTATCTTCAGGGAAGTCAAGGTTCTTATCCAATGGTATTAAATATTAATCTAGCAGGATACCATAATACACCTTAACACAGTATCTACTGATTGTTCTCTAAGTGAATTTTCATTGCAGCTTTTTTCTTTTGTAGCTAACCTTCATGGGCTTAAATCGTGTAGAAGTAGAAGAAAACGATAGTGATGCTGAGAGCAATTCAGGTGGCTACTTACCTAGTAATGCCTGGCATAAACTGGGAGAAGAAGCAGAAAAGTACTTCAGGAGAGCACCTTCTTTTCACTATATGTAAGTTTACGGAAGGAAGTAGTATATACCACAGCACAAGCTAATGACCTTAATTGATTCTTGCCTTTAATGCTCTGGGCTTGAATAGAGTTTAATCTTGGGTTGCAGTCATCAAGAACTTCTGTGTGGTCTCTGTTCTTATGGTACAATCAACTCCTTGTCTCTAAAATATTTCTCTCTTTGATTTTGATTTGGCTTGGCTACAAAATAATCTCACATCTAGTAGAGAGAGCAAGGTATTCTTGATACACTTGTTTCAGACCAAAACTACTAGAAGTGATCCTCTTTCCTTTAAAAGCTGTCTCTTCCCTTGTCTTTCTCTCTGTACAAGCTGCAGCCAGAATCATGAATAGACCAACCTTTGTTTTTCTTTCCTAGGCAGTTCTGGAAGGCCAGTTCCTCAGGGTCTATATCTTTTACCTAATAATTGTATTATCATAGAGATCAGCAGTTCTTGTACCTCTGTGTTATGGGTTGTTATAATCACCTGATTACTGGCAAGTGGCCTTCTGAAGAATCAGTGTCACCTCTGTTTATGTGTAGGCAACCCATTTAGTAGGAGCTTTACCACCATGAGAGCAGTAAGGTGCTGGAATAGGTTGCCCAGGGAGGTTATTGATGCCCCATCCCTAGAGGTGTTCAAGGGCAGGTTGGATGAGGCTTGTGCAGCCTGGGCTGGTGGGAGGTGTCCCTGCTCATGGCAGGGAGGTTGGAACCAGATGATCTTTAAGGTCCCTTCCAACCTTCACCGTTCTATGATTCTATAATTTTAGCTGCTGTCAAGTGACCCTGAGTCACGTGGCTTACAGACAACACTTCAATTTAAATCTCTCCAAGTTGGCCTACAATAGCAGGACCTAGTTCAATTAAGTTCTCAGCAGTAGAGCTGACAAATATTATTCAGTTGTCTGTTTTTACACTTGTCCCACCCCAGTAATTATCTCTGCAGTTGTAAGAAAGTTGCTGAATATACTAACTTGAACATACAATATCTGCTATTTCTTGTTGGATTGCTAATTAAGATAACTTAAGTGCTAATTGAGAAGAAGTTGTATGCTCAAAGTGATATTTTCCAGTAATTTTTCTAATCTTCAGAAAAAACTGGCTGCAAGAAAGACTTATTTTGTCATTAGTTACACTTTGACACCTTAGGTAATGATGGGCTTCTTTTCATGGAGAATGTGTGAATATTAGCAAGGTGTTAATTTTAAATAATAGACCACAGTCCTCAGTTTAGGAAAAGAACTACTAATCTCTGACTCCTTTTCTGAGGCCTGAGTGACTTTTTTTTTCAGCCCATAACTTCTGAAGTTGAGCAGTTGCAACTCACAGGTGCTGCAGAATGTTTTGGTACCTGCTGAACTAGCTTGAGTTAGTTGACACTCTCTCCTTTAAGCATCTAACTTGGTGGAGATTCAAGGCAAGCAGAGTTAGGAGCCTGGTCAGTGGGGAAAGGTAAGCACTCCAAGAAAGTGCCTAAATCTAGCACCTATATTACACTCATGTTGTGTAACAGCAAACTTTGGGTTTCTTCTTAGGGTACTGAGTGTTCCATTGATTGACTGTCTTTTCAAAATTTGTTTGTTTTTTGTTTAAAAAAAAACAACTTACCGCAAACCTGAACTTACAGAAACCAAACAGTAGATGAAAAAGACATAAATATTGTGTGGAGGGAGTCTTCTGGCAGAACAGTTTGTAATACATTTAGATGGAGCTATGGATAGATATAAACTATATACTCTGTTAAGTTTCTTAATTAGTTTTAAGAAAACTAGATTTAAATATTCAGTTTGAAATAACCTATTTGTATAATTGCATCAAATTTTGTACATCCTGTTGATGATTCTGGTATGAGGTTGCCAAGATATATTGGGAGCAACTTTTGAGGCTGGTTGTGATGAGGCTTTATTTTTAGGTATCAGTCATTACTTTGCATTTTTACCAGGACATCAAGGACTAGATGGATTTCATAGCATACACTGTAAAACATATATATGGAAATATGTTTGTTTTATTTTGGTTAGGTTGGGATCTTTCAAGTCTGATCCTCCTGTACCAAGGCAACGGATTGAGAGGCAGAAAAAATCTGCAGGAGGAGAAGGAAAAAGGGCAATGCCTGCTCAGGTTTGTGATGCATGACCTTTATTAGTGATTTGTTATAGCAGAGCTGTTGTGACTTCTGAATCTTTCTGCTCACGCTTTGAGTTTTGTAGTTATGAACTGTGTAGTACTAAAGAATTCAGAGTTAATTACTGGCTTCTTGATTTGTTTTGTGTAGACTGCGGTATTTAGTTGAGTGGAAGGAAACAGGATTTCCAGATTGATTTCAAGTTCAGAAATAAGATTCATAGACTGTTTTGTGGTTTTTGTGGTTTTTTTGGTTGTTGTTTTTTTTTTTTTCAAGTTCAGATTAGCTTATTTACTCTGATGGTTGTTGCTTTGAAAGGAAACCAAAAAGAAACTTCTTTACGTTAGCATGTCTTTAATTTTTATTTTAAAAATGTCTTAACTGTGTGGCATTTACACAGATAATGTGATTAACAGTGGCAAACTAATTAGTTCACTTACCCACTATTTTCCTTGCTTTTTTCCCTGTTCTGTCTTACTCTGGCAGAAAAGCAAGTTTGAGAATACTTGGAGAGGGGCTTACATTTGAAACTTTGAAAAAACAAACCATGTTGTTATGGGGAATCTCTGGCTCATAATTCCACTACACAGAGGCAAAACGTCGAGTTGGTCTTTTGAAATACAGCTGCTTCATGGTGATCCAAGTAGTGATAGAAATTATTCTGAGTCAGTTTGGACTGGGAACCAGAGGAGCTGGAGGGTCTGAGAGCTGCATTGAGAAGTGTGTGACTGGTCTTTGCGGTTTGTGTGTCCATGTGTATTAGATACATAGTTAATGTGTTTCTGAAGCTTCCTTTCTTGCAAGGTGGGCAAGGAGAGAGTGGTGGTTGAAAGGAACAGCAAACAGGTTATTTCAAAAGTCAGTTTGCTACTCTGCTGGTGGCAGAACTTGGAGGATTTGGAATACCCTGGTCTACACACAGTGAACAACCAATCTGTAAAATCACAAAAATTGTGGCCTTTGACCACATCGAACTTCATGCCATGATGTGTCTTAAATATAAACTTAGGTGCCTTTGCTGAAAAAAGGATCTTAAGGAACTGACTATGCTTAGAAATAAACTTCAGTAAACTGTCAGACCATCCTCCTAAGGGTAACCCAGTTCCACAGAACTATTAGGAAGCAAGAGCAGAGCTGTAAGTAGGCTCAGAACATAGAAACTGTGGCCTTTCAGTTTGATCTTGTAAAAAGGGACTTAATTCCTAAATCGCTCTGTAAAGTGACTCATTGTGCTTCATCAGTGTGTCTAACCATGTGTGTGTGGCTTGGACACAAAAAAGTATCTCTTATGTTACTTGTTCATAAAAGGGCCTTTTCAATATTCTTGCCTTACAACAGTGGTTTATTTGAGGTAAAACTGTGTTTCTTTTTTGCAGTTAAAAAAAATGGAGGAGTCTCATCAGGAAGCTACAGAAAAAGAAGTAGAGAGGATCTTGGGATTATTACAAACTCATTTTAAAAATGATCGTGAGTATGATTCAAATAAGCTTTTAAAGCAGTAATTTGAGAAAATAAATACTCTTAATCTTGTACAGTTAGGAGTGGTTAAACTGTAAGAACAAAATTAGGTAGAGTTTGGAAGCAGAAATCTTTATGTGGAAGGATATATACTGACTGTATTTTCTATGAACACTTACCAGTTACTGTTTGATTGCAGAGTAAATGAAATCCTACTGTACCCTCTTACTAGAGCATGCTCCTTTTTTACAAGGCAAGGGGATAGTCAGTGTCTGTGTGGAGCAAAAACTGGAAAGAAAATAATATTCTCTAGAAACTTTTGTTGCTTTCTGCAGGCAACTGGAAATTCAGCTTTGTAACTAAATTGACATAAACATTCAGTTAGCTTTTAAAAGAAGCACTGGCTCTCTTAAGTTTGTGTTTACATACTTGAGCTCTGTGTGTAGCACCTGTTTTTTGTTTGTTTTGTTAACGACCCCCTCTTTGCACCTCCAGCGGATACACCCATTTCCTTCTTTGATCTTGTGATCGATCCAAACTCTTTTGCACGCACAGTGGAAAACATCTTTCATGTGTCCTTCATTATAAGGGTAAGACATGACATGTTCTTGAAATATTATTTTAGATACAGGAATTATCTAGAAGTACTGATCTGCTGGTTTTGTGGCTTCAGCATAGGCAGATTAGGATTTTAATATTAGGAACTTCAATTAGCTTTCTACAAACAAGTATTTGATATTTTGGTAATTGAATAAAAGAAAGCAGTTCACTAATTTTTACATTTTTCAACTGCAATTTTTAACAAACAAAACATTAGTGATTTTTTTTGCTGTCAATACACTTTTCAAAAGGATTCTAGTTCATATTGTGTTAGATTATAGAAGAACAGTCAGAGTATAGCAGAGTTGTTGAGGTTGTAGGAAAGCATGTCAGTGCAGTGTTATTGAATCTATAGATTTGCACTTCAAACTATACTTAGCTTGTATAATAAATATAATGAATTTGGGGAAAGAGAAAAACTTAATTTTTTTTTTTACGAAATTCAAGTTTTTAGTGAATAGTGATGTGATTTTGAAAGGTTAACATATGTAATAAATACTAATGATTTTTAATACATACTCTTTTAATAATCCAACTGACCCATATCAGTTGTAATAAGTGCTGTATTTAAGTAATTGTACTTTTTTGGTGTGTCAATGAAAGAATCTTTATGTAACTGTTTATGATTATGTAATATTTATTAGAAATGTGAGATCTCAGTGCATTATCCTAATTTCTGAAAGTTTTCATCCTCTTGTCTTTTAGGATGGTTTTGCAAGAATAAAGCTGGATGAAGATAAATTGGCAATAATAGGTAAAAATAGCTTTAAAGGACTACAACAATTTTTTTTTACAGCATTGCAAATCACCTGCATCTTATGTCTGTACAAAGATTTAGGAATTTTTTTAGCTGCTAGAGTAGTTTTGGGGATGTGCAATGAATATAATTGAAATACTTACAGATCGATTCTATTAATGGAAGTAGAAGGTTATTGCCTTTCCATGTAGGTGATATTTTCACTAATAAATATGTGAATTTTGTTATACTTTGAGAAAAGATATGTGTGTGCAAGAAGTCTCCTTTGTCTATCTGAGTTGGGAACTACTGCAACTTCTAAACAGTTGGAAAAGAAATGCCATCCTCCCTAGAAGGTCTCTGGCTTTCATTCCCACAGGATCAATGGGATTAGGACTTTTTTGGGTTTTCATAGAGGATTAAATACTTAGGTCCTTCTGGGACTCTTATGAAATGTTAGTTTTTAAATTTTTAGGAGCTAAGACTAAAGAAATTTCTTAAGCATATGGTGCAGGCTATTATTGGTAAGAGACTGGCTTAGTGGAGCGTGTAGAATTTATTTGCTTTTTGTGAAGCTTTTTGTTGCTGGAGGAAACTGACTTGACAAGTGTCAATTTCATACAAGTATGAAAATACTGTATTTTGAACAGAGCCTTCCAAAGACAACGAGAGGAAGGCAGATCACCGCAGTGCTGGAGCACGGAACCAGGTCGTCATAGCTCTGAGCCATCAGGAATGGAAGGTACAATGGATCCCACTTGATACTTGTGATTAATTTTATTTTCCTTAAGAGTAGCAATGCATCCAAGAGCTATTTTGATAAGTGCTCCTGGATATATGTAACTGCATTTAACTTCATGGTTTCCAGAACAATCACAAATCTAACGAATGCTTTTTACTGCAATAAAACTGAGAATTTGGGTAACAATTTAATCTTTGAACCATGAAGCCTGGTCAGTTTAAGTGCTTTTAAATTGTGCAGTGACCTGCCTTTACTCTTTTATGTGGGAACTGCTTAATTGTGGAGGCTGTTTCTTCCCTTGCACATGAAACTTGCTTCTCCTCACTGTTTGCTGTTTGTAATCAATCTTAGACAAGAAGTAGTTTTTAGCAGGTAGAATTTGTCACCTGTGTCCCTCCCTCAGAAACTTAGTAATTTGAACATGTTCTTTATTATGAGAAACTTTATGATTTACCTGGTGATAACTTCAGTAACATTGAAATAGTTCAGCTTTTGTAATGTGCATACTCTTGTCATCTCTAACCAGGAGATTGTGGAAACATATGAAATAACAGAACCCATGATTAGCCCTCCTAACGACAGGAAGGAAGATGAAATGGAGATATCTTAATTATTCAAGTAAGTTATTTTAAGAAATCAAACTAAATAAGGGTACAGTGCATGAGATCCTTATGCATGTGGAAGAACTGCAGGGAAACTACATGTGACTTAAACAGTCACCCTGCTTGTAGTTTTTCTACATTTATAACTGGAACATTTTTATATTCGTGATCTCTTCGTGGAACAAAATGTCATCTAGTCTTCTGTGCAGTCATTTACTGGGAAAACAACCCACCTTTATTTTTGTATTTGATGGTCAGTTAAGTAATATACTTGTTAATTTTAGAACTTTGTAGTCAGAATGCAATCTTGTGAAGAATCATAGCTTAGTTTTTGTACTTTTTTAATTACAGACAGCTGATGTTAGTAGAGTACTATGAAGAAGGACTTAGGGAAGCAGGAAGGAAAGTCAGCCTGGTTCCCTTTTATTGTCACAGTTGTTTGCTAAGTTTCAAATTTATGTATACTGTCTTACTGTCTTTTCTTTTTTCTTTCCCCATAGGTGCCTTACAGAAAATATTTTAAAATGTGTTCTTTAGAAGAGATTTTATATGTATATATTGTAAAATTAAATTTATTTTTCTTGGAACACCTCGATACTTTATATAAGCTGTCTTGTTTATAATTGTCACAGGGTTATTACCATATACTTCCTGTTTATTATGGCTTAGTTTACTACTTATGTAAAGGAGCAGCTCTGCTATGAAGACAGGCTGAGAGAGTTGGGGTGTTCAGCCTGGAGAAGAGAAGGCTCTGGAGAAACCTTAGAGCACCTTCCAGTGCCTGAAGGGGCTGCAGGAAAGCTGGGGAGGGGCTTGGGACAAGGGCAGGGAGTGAGAGGACAAGGGGAAATGGTTTTAAACTGAAAGAGGGGAGATTTAGGTCAGACATCAGGAAGAAATTCTTCACCAGGAGGGTAGGAAGGTGCTGGAACAGGTTGCCCAGGGAGGTTGTGGCTGCCCCATCCCTGGAGGTGTTCAAGGGCAGGTTGGATGAGGCTTGTGCAGCCTGGGCTGGTGGGAGGTGTCCCTGCCCATGCAGGGGGGTTGGAACCTGATGGTCTTTAAGGTCCCTTCCAACCTTCACCAGTCTCTGATTCTATGAAATGCTGTGTCCCTTTTGTCCCTTGTCTCTCCCCAGTAGCTGCCTGCAAGTGGAATTTACATGGTTACCCATCTCTGCTGTGATAATCTTGTTATGGAGATGATCTTGGGTGCTGCGGGAGGAACTGCTCCTGTTCTTTCTGTTCTTACTGCTCTGGAAACCAAGGCGTGAGTTGAGAAATTAGGTCTCAATTACAGCTAGAAATCACTTTCCCGAGTCTATCAGGTGTGTTTTTAACTCGGGCAGGGCAGCTGCCTTAGGCCGTGAGGTTATTTTCTCCTAAGCAGACACAGTGTAGCATCTGTGTCCCTGCAGGACGTGCAGAGGAGCTCTGAGGGTTCCTTTACCTTGCGCGGGGATCCTGGTGGAGCAGCTGCGGCGCCGAGGGAGCCCTGCCCGCTGCGGGGCGGTGTGTGTGTGCGGGGCCGGGGCGGTGTGTGTGTGCGGGGCCGGGGC